AGCCTCCCAAAGTACTGGGATTACAGGCATAAGTCACCATGCCTGGCCTGCTTTGAGAATTAAGGAAGAAATCCATCTCTTCCCCTGAAAGTAAAATAGAGAGGATATGAATTAACGGATCAAAATATCAAATAACTTTTCAAATCATAAAGGTAAGTCCTGATAACAAGGTGAATGCCAGATCTGTAATACTGTTTTGCTAAAATGAAAATGTAAGATTAATTTTAGTTAGGTTGGCCATAAGCAAGTTGCATAGCTCTCTGAGACCAAATAGAAAATATATTACCTCTAACACAGGATTGTCATGTGGATTTAGAGAGAGAAGGCATGTGAAGAATTTATCGTAGTGTAGGTACCTGGAAAACATTAAGGCCTTTAAACTTATTTTTTTTTAAATCACATTAATCTGATTTTATCAATTTAGACTGTTTTTTTAAAAAAATCTTTGTCTTAAGGGAGCAGTGTGTTTTTTCTCCTTAAAGTAAAATCCAGTTCTTATCTTTATTAAAAGGCACTCTATAAACACAATGAGACTATGTTAAGCTATGAGTTTGGCTCTAGATAAAATGAGATATATTTTCTCACATAACAAATAATACCATGGGTAAACAAGGTCTGCCAACCCCAGGTGAATGTAGGACTCCCTCAAAGTCTCAGATTGCTGTTGTCACACAAGGCATGGCTCTTCCTTGCATATTTTTTTTTCTTTTTCTTTTTTTTTTTTTTTTTTTTGAGACAGAGTCTCACTCTGTCGCCAAGGCTGGAGTGCAGTGGCACAATCTTGGATCACTGCAACCTCAGCCTCCCGGGTTCAGACAATTTTCCTGCCTCAGCCTCCCAAGTAGCTGGGATTACAGGCATGCACCACTGTGCCCGGCTATTCCTTGAATATTTTAAAGTAATAAACATTTCTAGAGAATTATTTCCCACCCAAGGATACTTTTTTCTCTTTTCTCATTGCCCAGCTAGGTTACATCCACCTTTCTAATATAGCCACTGGCAAGAGGAGAGCTTACTAGAATTGGCTTACACTAATTGTTCTCAAACTATGGTGAATCAGAAATACCTCAAGGACTTGTTAAACCCACAACTTCTGGGCTCGAGCTCTGAGTTTCAGATTCAGTAGGTCTTGAATGAAGTTCCCAAGTGACGCCGTTGCTGCTGCTTTGGGTAGGACTTACTGAAAATATACTTTGACAAATACATATGTATCTCCTAGGCCTGAGAATAAGTTGACATTCTCTGAGCAAATGGCCAAGCAGTAGAACATGAAAGCTAGGGCTCTGCTTATACAAATGGCATATGACTGGGGTGGAATTTGTGTTGACAAACAAAGATGCTTTTCCTTCCTTCCTTCATTCATTTGTTTGTTCATTTCTTCCTCTTTCCTTTTTTCTCGTATGAACACTGAAGGCTGTTTACTCTTTTTAAATCATTCTAAGTAAATTTTACAAACCTAATGACAAAGCATTAATGATATAAGAAATAATTTTGCTAAAGCACACAGGTATGTAAGTAATTGTAACAAGTTACATAATTTTGGAGAGAAAGCCATCGTCTTACAAAGTTATAACTTTTCCATTAAGCTCTGGATTATTTGTGCAGCAAATTCTTTATGTCTGACAGAAGAAGAAAGATCTTTTTTTAAATGTTCCATTGTTGTTCCAAATAATAGAATTGTGCTCCCTATTACGTGTTTCTTTGTAAAAGAATAATGTATAGAACTTGACATTTGAAAATTGTATTCTGAAGAGAAGAAATGAGAAATCTGTTTGCATTTTAAATGTGATGTGTGGCGTAATTCAGTAAAACTCAGTGCATAAACGACAGTGTTACTGTGAAGCTATTGAAGTGACAGGGCAAGCTTACCCAGACAGCCAGTTTGAATGCCCTGTCTAGCTGCCCAATCCAAATCTGTCTGTCTCCAGCTGGCTGTTGGCATTATTCAGGTTTAAATATCAGTAGCTGTGATTTTGACTCCTATGGAAGGAATGGGTAGGATTTGCAGGACAGAAACTAAAAATCTCTTCTTCATTTGACCCTCGTGTTTTCAGTGGATACTAGAAGGTGGACATTCTTGGGACAGGCAATAGTTGGTAGGCACTAGGGGGGGGCACATCTTCCATTCCAACTCCTGGCTTCCTAAGAGTGAGGACCAGCATTTTCTCTGCTGTGTCCTGCCTTGCCTCCACACCCTCGCCCCACCTCTCTGGGACTTCAGAATGCTGGAATTCACAGAGGCCAAGAGCTTGTGACATCAATCGTGTCAGATCAAAAGTTGCTTTATATCAACTTTTTTCTTCTAATAGCATACACTTCACACAGTTTTACATTTTTCTTTAACATTTTGGAGATCTCTCTATATCAATATATAAAAGGCTGCCGTATTGTATATTTCATGGTTTTTCTTAAATTTAATCATGCCCATTTCACAGATATTTAGCTTCCAATATTCATTGTAAACAACAAAACAATGCTGCAATGAATATTACAATAATCACAGTTCACACAACTATGCTTATATTTGTGGAATACATTCTTGGAAATAGAATGGCTGGGTCTGACTTTATGTGCATTTTTAATTTAAAAAAAATTGCAATCTACCCGTCTGACAAAGAGCTAATATCCAGAATCAACAAAGAACCAAAACAGATATACAAGAAAAAAAGCAAATAAACCCATTCAAAAGTGGGCAAAGGATATGAACAGACACTTTACAAAAGAAGACATATATAAGGCCAACAAACATATGAAAAAATGTTCATCATCACTGGTCATTAGAGAAATGCAAATCAAAAGCACACTGAGGTATCATCTCATGGCAGTTAAAATGGCAATCATTTAAAAATCAAGAGACAACAGATGCTGGAGAGAATGTGGAGAAATAGGAGTACTCTTACACTGTTGGTGGGAGTGTAAATTAGTTCAACCATTGTGGAAGACAGTGTGGCGATTTCTCAAGGATCTAGAAACAGAAATTCCATTTGACCTAGCAATACCATTACTGAGTATATACCCAAAGGACTATAAATCATTCTATTATAAAGGCACATGCACATGTATGATAGACTGCACAAAGAAAATATGGCACATACACACCATGGAATACTACGCAGTTTGTATCCTTTGTAGGGACTTGGATGAATCTGAAAACCATCATTCTCAGCAAACCGACACAAGAACAGAAAACCAAACACCACATGTTCTCACTCATAGGCAGGTGCTGAACAATGAGAACACATGGACTCAGGGAGAGGAGCATCACATACTGGGGGTAGTGGGGGGGATAGGGGAGGGACAGTGGCAGGGGGAGGGTGGGGAGGGATAACATGGGGAGAAATGCCGGATATAGATGAAAGGGGAATAGAGGCAGCAAGCCACCTGGTTATGTATGCACCTAGGCAACAACCCTACATGACCTGCACATGTACCCCAGAAGCTACAGTAAAATAAAAATTAAAAAAAAAATTACCAGTTTTTTCCATGAACGAATCCATATTTCTCTGAATTTTACTGGCATATTATCTTACCACACTTAGCCTTTGCCAGTCTGAAGACATGATAAATAATATCTTGATTTTTGAATTAAGTTTTTAATTTTTGATACAAATTCATATGCAGTTATATAAAATAATGCAGAAAGATCTGGAGGTCCCTTACATAGTTTCTCTCAATGGTATTATCCTGAAAAAGTATATGATAGCACAGCTAGGATACTGAAGTCTACACAGTCAAAACAGAGAACATTCTCACCACGAGGTTCCCTTTATAGCTACCCTCACGTCAACCTTACCCCTGGCAGTCACTATAATTTTCTATAATATCTATAATTTTATTAGGTCAAAAGTGTTACATAAATTGGAATAGACGTTCCCTGAATTTGAGAGAAGCTGAATATGTTTTATTTGTTACGTACAAATTATATACTTATTATGATTGAATTTATCATTTTGTGATCTCACAATTTGGGATCATACTTAGGAAAACTTCCCCTACTTGATGATTAAAAGAAAAGCACCACATCCAAATTTTTTCCAGTATTTTTCAATATTTTATGACTATTTTTTACTTTTGGATCTTGAATTCTTCATTAGTGTTACTAATGGCTTGAGATGTGAAAAAAATCCACTTTCGATTTCTACCTAGATGTCCTAAGATAATTACCTATGCATTTTTAATGTTTGCCTTTTTGTGACTTTTGTATATAAAGTAATATGACAGTACATTTTAGCAAATCAAAGAAATATCCTTGGTGTCTCCTACAGTATTATAACATTAGAATGAGCCAGGGGTTACCCTTTTCTTTATAGTTTTAATAAAGATGTTTTCTATAATGATGGTACTATTAATTTTATACTGTAAATTTTAACCAAAAATGAGAAACATTAATCTGAGGATGATTACTGTAACCTGTTAATTTATATAGCATATGGTGTTAACTATAACAAAATTCATATGTAGTCTAATTATTTTATGATAAATTAATATATTTCTTACCCATGATGGGTCCTTCCTGCAAGTTTCTGAGCCTGATGCATGTGGTTTCAGAAGGGGTTGCAGGAAACAACATGACTACAGCCTCACAAAGCCTATTTTCTTCAGAAAATAATTAAATCATATAGTGCGCTAACTTGTAGCATCTGCTGAGTTAGTAGATGAACAGGATAAACAGCTCTTTTTGCATTTACATTATTTTATTCTTTCCTTATGGCTATATGATTTCCTTTTGGGGAAAGGTTATATAAAAACTACTTTTGTATAAGGTGCAAAATAGATCATTTACAAAACAACATAAAGAATGTATTCTATTTTAGTAAAATCTTTCATTTATAGTCATATCATAATTGTAATATTTGATTACAGAAATGTAGAATTCCAAACACAGACGATGGCTCAACTAATTTCTTCCTAAAATGTTATTTTCTTTTGTCAAAAGAAGTTGCCATTCTTCTGATTTTTATCAGACTATAAATAATGTAATTTTTGTTTTCCCTTGAAAGGAACTGTTGAAACTTCAACATGCCTACTATAAACTAAGCAGACAATACCAGGCAAAGATTGCAGAACTGACTCATGCAAACAACCGAGTGGATCAAAACGAGGCAGAAGTAAAGAAACTGAGATTACGAGTGGAAGAACTAAAGCAAGGACTCAACCAAAAAGAAGATGAGGTACTACTTTATTAGTGAACACCTACTGGGGAGCTTCTATAGAGTCTTTCAGAGCACATACAGTGATTGTCTCCCTTATTAACATACGGCATTAGTGCGAATATAAATCTTCATATTTTAATGACTAAAATAAATTTAAAAACAGTAAGGAAAGAAATAAGATTACACAGATAGTGTGCACATGTTTGTGGTGCTAATAGTGTATTATTTACTAATGCTTCAATGTGATCCTGTGTGTATGTGTGTGTGTGTTTAAATATGGGTGCAGTATCATTAAAGCTTGGGTGTTTTAAGATTTAAGCATCTATATAAAAAAAGTATGATATATGTGATGATTTATTATGATATATATTATTTTCAGTGTCGTTTAATGTTCAAAAGAATTATTTTCAGTGTCGTTTAATGTTTAATCTTTATTTTGTTGTGTTAGGTCAACTCAATAATGGTTTATGGACTATTTTAGAAGTTCCTGGAAGATAGATATCTCAGTGTAATATCTTAACAGCACACAGTTACAACTGTGGAGGTGATTTCAGCTGCAGTTACAAACGACAAAGATTTTTATTTTTTTAAAACAAAAGAAACACAGTCTCAAATGTCACTATGATTGTGGGACTGTCACCATCAGTAGCATTCTTTCAGATGGTGCTCCAGTCACTGTCTCTGGCCCTGTTGGACAATTATTCAGGCAAAAGCCATAATTCCCTGGTTAAAAAGACTATTGCTATGTAATGCAAAACAGTTGGAAATAAAAAATAAACAAAGAGCTGAATTATTTTCCATAGAGTAATTTAATAATCAAGCATACTCCCCATTTTGAGAATTTGTTTTTAATAAAACAATTCCAATCAAGCAACCTGGATTTTCTTCTGTAATAACATCACATGAAAACAAAATCAATCATTCCACAAATGAGGCTCACACACTGTCTGTGCTTGCTAGTGACTCTTGGCAGGCGTTTCATCCTCGCAATGTCTCTTTTTAGGAATATATATATATATATACTTGTAGTGATATTCACGTGTGGTGGGGCTGGATGGTGGAAGAGTAAGTTGGAAGGGGAATATAGTAGGAAGGCTCAAGAACGTGATTTTAGGTTTTTTTATTGTATTGTAGCCATTATTTTTGTGAATGATTTTAACAGGCAAGTATTTGTTGTAGGGGGTGGGGTGGTGGTGATAGTGGTGAATAAATATTTTTGTCAATATAAGCTTTAAGAGATCACCTGGGACTAAATAATTGGCAAGGAAATAATTTCTTCTGGGGTTCATGGACTAATGAAGTGCTAGTCCCCAAAGACCTGATTCACAGTGTAATTGTGCAATTTAAATAATGAGCCGAGGTCTTAAGGAGGATAACATTATTTGTTCCTCCATGTAGGATTAAATTTCCCACATCATCAATGTCAGGCTTGATCATGTGATATTTGCTTTGTCTGTGCCTTATGAGAAGGAGCTGTGCATGCCAGTGTCTTCAGAAGCTTCGAGAGCCAACTCTCTGCTGTGTTTCTTTATTTTAATACATCTTTTCTCTCATGTCTCATGTCCTGAGGCCACCATGTCCAAAATATGCATTATTCTCTCAGCGATCCTGAAATTAAGAGGACATAAAGCTAAGCCTTTGCTGACCGAAAATGAAATATCTATGGGTAGAAAGAAATGATTGATGGTAGAAGCCACTGGGATTTGGAATTGTTTGTTGCTACAAAAAACCAAAGCAAAACGAAAGCTTAGTTGAAGCTGACTGGTATGGTTGTTAACATAATAAAAGAAAAACTAATCTTAAAATAGATGACATTGCTCTAATACCAGAACAACCTCTAATGAAAACAATATGCAGATTTTTCAAAGAACTGAAAATAGAACCACCATTTTATCCAGCAATCCTACTCCTGGATATTTATCCAAAGAAAAAAAAATGTATATCAAAAAGATACCTGCACTTGTATGTTTATTACAACACTATTCATAATAGCAGCTATATAGAATCAACGTCAATGGATTGGGCCCATGAGTGGAGGAGTGTATTGAAAATATGATATATACTATTGAGCTACGAACAAGAATGAAATAATGTCTTTCAACATCATAGATGAAACTAGAGGCCATTATTTTAACTGAAAGCACTCAGACACAGAAAGACAAATACCACAAATTCTCACTCACAAGGTGGAGATAAATAATGTGTACGCATGGAGGTAGAGAATGGAATGACAGACAACAGATGATAAGAAATTACTTGAAGGGTAACATGTCCATTATTCCCATGATGGATATACTGAAAATCCTGATTTCACCACTGTGCAATATTTCCGTGTAATAATATTACACTTGCACCTCACACATTTATACAAATTAAAAAAGAAATACTTTGGTAAAATAAAAAGAAGTAGGTGGTGAGAAAATATATTGAAGTCTGAAATCATGGAATCTATGGAGTGATGAAACATTTGATACACTAGTTTCCTATAGTACATTGGAAGGCCAGTAATGTACAGAGTGAGCTTGTGATTCTTAGGAGAAAAGATGTGAACTAATGTTACTTGTTTGCTATTGGTACATTTGGAAAATGCTTTAAAAAGGTGAACTCAGAAAAGAATTATCCAGTTTTGAAAGAGGTATATAAGGTAATATAGAAATTTAAATCGTTCTGTGACTTCCAGAGTTGTCAGACACATGATTTCCATTTCCAAAAGGTAAAATATGGAACTTAGGATGATTTTAAACAATAAATGTCTATTAAAATTGAGTTTTATGACAAGGACCCAATCAAAGTTGTTTCCTTCAAACCTAATGCTAAAGCTCTGAAATCTGTTAGTTTCCTGTGAATTATTTAAGCTGAACAAAATAGTGGAGGGAAAAGAGAATAAGGTTGTGACTCTACCAGAACATCTCAGAATTCAAGGTAACTGTAAGAAGCTCAAAGATAGAGAAATGTTTCTAAAAGGATTACTGATATGAATATTGACCTATGAAATGTATTGGAATCAAATAGAAAAGATTAGTAATGAATGTTATACTGGTAAGTGAGCTTCTAGTCTGGGCTAAAAGAGACTAATATTCTCAAGATTAACATAACTCTTTGTTCCTTCAAACTTCCATGGGAATTAAGCCAGCTGAGCATGCTCTCAACTCCCTGTGAGAGAATGTCCTCCAATGGCAAATTAAGATATGGCCACAGTATCTAATAAAACTAGCAGGACCATCTAGAGAGCAGAGCCAAGGACCACAGTAAGTGCAGACCAAGCAGCTATTTTGAGGGAGCAGAACCCAGGCCAAATACAGGAACATTCCCCATGGCAGTATAGGTGTCTTTGCAGCATCTACCAAGTAGATTCCATAAGCATTTTCTATTTCCACTTTCTATATGGAAGCATTTATAGAAAATTTTCTGTCCTACTTTTAATATAGTATATTGTGGAAGCATGTGTGTGTGTGGTGGGGTGTACTTGCTTTTTTAGTACATAGATCTCTAGAGCCAGAACAGATATATATATATATATATATGGAGATCCAGTGTGGAAGATAATCATGAATTTTTTTAATGCATTCAAAATTTATTTGAAGGAAAATATTTAGCTTGTTGAATCTTCCTATAAGTAATTACATTTTTAAATATTTGTGGGCACTCCAGAGAACTACTGAGTTCTTGAACTTTGAGGCTAATGCTGTGTTTGGAACGTTGCTTAGGTACCTTGGTGAGGGAGTAAAATGTTTCAAGTGATGAAGATAAAAACACAGTTTGTGACCGAGTGAGTGGCCTATGTTATACTGTATGTGAATGTGTGTGTGTGTGTGAATATTTGCTGTTCCTTTCTGTGGGAGGAATATATTTCCCCAGCATGAATGGAGGCCTGGTCCTATGACTTCTTTGGCAAATGGGATTTGTGCTGTTTTCACACAGAATCTTCAGGAATCATAGTATCATATGGAGAAGTAATTGGGTATATTTCACATTTGAAGTCTAGCAATAGGTGTATTAAAATATATGTTTAACACACAAAACTTTATAATATTCTGTACCTGTAATTGAATCAATTACCATAGAAAATTGACCCAAAGCACCATTAATTCACATGCATATTATAATCTGTATTATCTGATTGCAGTTGTAGTGTAGTCAGTTTTTCTCTGATTAAAGGTCATCACTGTTTTGGATGGTTGGGAAAAATATTAATCACGAAAATAAAAAATTACTTTAAATAGCTATCAGCATTTCCTCAATTTGATTTCTCATTGGAAAGAAAATTATGTTAGTTTTATTGCTGAACTTTTCAATTTAATAGTAACAAATTCTTCAGCTTGCAGTTAGTATTTAACTGGAACCGTCAAGTAAAAAGTTTTCAACTCCGACAGGTCAACATATTTTAAATAAGTGAAAATAAGATATGTATCCTCTGTACTGTAGAGAGAATAGAATAGTATGTACTTGGGCTTATAGGAGAAAATCTGGGATTTAATTAAAGAAATGAACAAAGAATTTCTTTTTTGGATAAGTTGTTGATTTTAAGCAAATTTACAAAAATATCTAATATATTTGTTAGAAGGTAAGCATTCATCTTTCATCATTTTACTGAAGTTCTTTCTGTGAATATATATTACATTAAATAATGGCAAAATTTGTTAATTTATTACAATAGTGCAGGTTCATGTATATATCCACATTAAAATATCAATAACTGATCACTTTAATAAGTGTGATGCAAAACACCAGACTAATAAAACATATAATAGTAAGCAAAACTGTTAGAAAAAGGAACCTAAACTGAAAACATAAGGTTAAGTCTCTAGTATGTAAGAGGCAATGAGTGTAACATAAGCAATTGCAATGATGCTTGATTCTCTGCACTACAGAACTAGTGTCAGGAAGGCCAAAGGACAGATGAGATAAAGATTTCCTAAGAAAATTATAAATCTGATAAGGAAATATCCACGCAAAAATGGGTAAAGGGGAAAAATCAAGTCCACTCTTACCCTGCCATGGAAACATATTACCTTAGT